AAAAAAACTGAGTTTGGCAGAGCTTGGACTAACCACGTGCTGCGGGGTCTACGGTCCCCAGGTGCAGGAGTCTGCGCCCACACTGACACCTACCCCCACTCTACTGTCCCCACCCCTTGCACACCGTGGCCTGGCAGGCTGGGACCCTGCGGCTGTCTGTATGATGGCGTGACGCACTCCCTGAGTACTGGCTTCTGAGGATCAGCTGGTGAAAAGCGGAGCAGCCCCCTCTAGCCTTCATCTCACACTTACTGTTCACGGTTCCCATAGCACCAGGCAGGCAGGAGAAGTTTCCCACAATTACTAAGCCCCAGTCCAGCCCACCTGCCTCACTCAGCCTCCAGCTGTACTTCCTCCTCTCCTCACACCCCACCACGTCCACATCCCTCGGGCCCCGCAGAGCCCCTTCCTGACCACTCAGTCCCTCATCTCTCCAGTAAACTGCTTCTCAGCTTCTCCTCTGACGGAGGCAGGTGTGCTGGCCTCTGACCCCTCTCAGGAGGCCTGTGGATCCAGCAAGGTGTCCCCAGTGTGCCCCCCACCCCCGTCACTGAGAGCTTCGAGGATAAACACCTGGCTATGCTATTCTGGGTCTCTGCGTCCAGGAACGATGGACACAAGTGAGGGATCAATGTGCCACCCAGCAAGTCTGGCAGTATAGAAGGACCCAGTCCCGCAGATCCTGACGCCGTGAACAGACTGGGCAGCACTACTTCCCGAGTGACAACTGGTCACGGTCCTTGGAGGACCTCCCGCCTCTGGGCTCCCCCTGCTTGCTCAGGGGCACAAACCTGCGGGCGTTTGTGGGTGCTCTGAGTTGCTGGTGCTGTTGTAGTAATTCTGCACGTTTCTCAGACTTATCTGGAAAATCTTCATCCGGTTGGCGAAGATGTTGGTCTCATCATCAAAGTAGGCCTTCTGTTCTTTCAGCCAGGGCACGCAAGGCTCCGCCTTCATGAGTTCACTGTTGTAGCGGATGAAGGGCTTGTCGTCCAGGAAGCCATGGGCAGAAAATCTGGGCACTCCGGGGCCTGACTCAGAGACGGCTGAGTAGAAATACTGGAGAGAGTGGGACCCTGCGACAGAGCCATGGACGCACCGTGAGCTGCAGTGTTTACCGAGGAGGACGCGACCTCCAGGGCGTGCGGTGTGTGTGTGTGTGTGTGTGCACGCGCTTCACAGAGGAGCGGCACACCGTACAACACAGACCAGGTGTGGAAAAAGCCACTTGCACGCGTGACATCAAACTCCACACGGCATGCATGGAGGGAACTCAGTCATCGAGGAAATACTGACGCCAGGCCTCAGTGAAATTTGTAGGAAGTTCTATTTTTTTTTGGTACCCAGAATCAAACTCAGACTCTTTTTTTTTGTTTTGTTTTGTTTTGTTTTTGTTCTTTTTCAGACTCAGGATCTTGCCCTTGCCAGGCAGGTGCTGCGCCGCTGGGCCGTATCCCCAGCTCCCGGAAGTTGCTGAGCAAGGCTCGAGAACTAGAGGGGTCTGAAGATTCGGAAACATCCTCAGGATGTGAACTGGAGCTAAGTCCCGGAGTGGGCCTCCAGCCACGCCCGCAGCTGCTTCTCCACTCCCAGCACAGTCTGTTTTCTTTTCTAATCCCGCTACACCGTTCCGGTGATATGCACCTACACATGGGGACCTCAGTGAGAGAAAGACCCAGCTGCATGGATGATCCACGTGCCTCACACAGATGCTGGAAACATAAATTACACGCAACAGCTAGGCGTGGTGGTGCACTCCTGTAATCCCAGCACTCGGGAGGCTGAGGCAGGAGGATCGCTGCGAGTTCGAGACCAGCCTGGGCTACAAAGTGAGCTCAAGTTCAGCCTGAACTGCATAGCAAGACCCTGTCTCAAAAAGACAGGAAAAAAACAAAACAGAACTGCCACCCACTGTGCCAGTTAACAGCCTCATTAGACCAGTCCGGCTGGCACAGAATCTCTCCTGTTTCCAGAGAGTGATGACACAGGGCTTCCCGGACTCTACTTTTGTGTTCTTTCTTACTTTAGCTCACTTGTGACACTGAGGTGGACCTTTTACTGAGCACAGCAGCAAGACTTAACTGGAAACCTGTCTCTGACAAAAGGCGAGCTCCTGAAGCTAAAGTGCTCAGAGGCACAGGGCCTGCCTGGCAAGCACAGGTCCTGAGTTCAAATCCCGGTACCAAAACCACAAAAATGTGAATGGTGCAATGAGTCCCCGCCTCAGAGCCTGCCCTTGCCCTCCTGAGCAATCCCGAGTGAGCAAAGGCCACCGCCACCCCATCCCGAGCAAAGGTCAGGCGCAGCGCTCATGCCCGCTGGGATCATGGTGCAGCAGCTTCAGCCTGGCCACCGCATAAGCGGCCCCCAGGCTTGGGGCAGAGTGTCTTGCAGTTTGCACAGAGGAGAAGAGCATAGCGGCTGAGGAGAGAAGAGACTTCTTTTTTTGGAGGGGGGGGGGTTTCTCCGGTACCGGGAGCCGAACTCACGACCTTGCGCTTGCCAGGCAGGCGCTTTTGCCGCTGAGCTAAATCCCCAGCCCCTGAGAAGAGACTTCTTATCAGCAGGTGTGACTTCCCGCCTGAGTGGTCTTAGTGGGTCCATTCCAGGCACCCGTGTGTGTGTGTGTGTGTGTGTGTGTGTGTGTGTGTGTGTGTAGCCGCTCTCAGCTCTGCCCTCCGGCCACATCAGGGGCCAGTGCTCAAAAACAACCTGGCAGTCACACAGCTGTCAGTTGAAAAAACTGCAATTCATAATTTTGCAAGGGTAAAACTGTCATTTAAATTATTGGGGCTGGGGATTTAGCTCAGGGGCACAGCGCCTGCCTGGCAAGCGCAATGTTGTGAGTTCGATTCCCGGTACCGGAAAAAAACATAACAAAACAAAAAAATTATCTTATTATCCCATCTTTTTTATTTCCCTTGGAAACAAAAGCTTTTATTATCTGCACAGCGCAGTACAGCAGGACATTTTCCTGCCTCCGCCTCAGAGCGCCGGCCTCGTCCGTCACCTGTCTGATTCTGCCCCTCCGCACCCCCCGCTCCGAAGATCCCAGGTCTCCCTCTGTTCCTGGGGTTCCCTGCCCCACCCCTTCCTTCCACTCGCCCCGCCCACCCACTCCCGCCCCGCCCCTCGCCCCGCCCACTCACGGGCGCCGCTCTCCCGCGGGAAGCTCAGCAGCTGGAGCCAGAGGACCCAGGCCCACAGCATGGCTCGGGGAGGTCCGCGGGCGACCGTGGCGCTGGCTCCCGACCGGTCCTGCTGCGGGAGGCGCTTTCGGGCGGCAGGCCCCGAGAGGCGGAGCGGACGGCCGGGCAGTCTCCAGGCTCGCTGCAGACGGTCCGGCAGTCTGCACGGCCCGCTGGGTCAGGGCAGCGAGAAGCCCTCCTGCCTCGGCCCCGGTGGAATCCTCACCCGACCACAAAGGACGGCTGCAGCTGGGGCAGCAACCACTTCTCAAGCAAAATGGAAAACGTTGGTTTCTAAACTGTGGAGCTTCCGTCCTGTTTTCTTTCAAGTCCAACCAATCACCGAAGAGAAGCCGCGGGCAGGGCCCGGAGAGGCGGGGCGAAGGTCCCCCAAGTCAGGCCCCGGGCGGCGAGGAAGGGCTCTTAACGCAGAAGGGCCTGATTGTGACCCTCCCAAAGGATACTATTCGGGCCAGCCTGCAAACTCTTCTTGGTAGAAATGGCTACTAACGATTACTCTTCCAGAAGCCCGTGGTTCTCAGTGATGGCCCTTAGGCCAACGCCTGCACCTTACAGGGAGCCTATGTGGAGTTCACCACCCACCTTAGGTCTCAAAGTCAGCCTGCGAGCTCAACAAAGACCCCCGTGCCGGCCGCACTCAGCTTGAAGCAGTGTGGGGCTCCTCCCTGCCACGGCTTTGACTTTGCCGGGTGAGCAGGAGGGCTGTGGGGACAAAGGAGTTGCGAGTGTCCGCGGCCAGCTCGTGGGAGACTCCCTGGGCAGTCCTGGAACCCGAGAGAGGCCGGCAGAGCGGAAGGGAAGCGCATGGGGAACGCAGCCCTCCTGCCCTGAGCTATGGGGTCGTCCCAGCCTGTGCGACAGGACCACCGCTCCCAGCCCGGGGCCGCTTCCAGCTGTTCTTTCTCATCTGCTGGCCTCAGTTTACCCAAAACCGCATTGGCTCAAGGCTTGAACCCGGTACCCGTACCCAGCGGGGTCTCCCAGAACTACAAGGCAGCCCGGCCCAGGAAGCTGCTCCTTAAAAGACCGAAGCCTTTCTGTTATGTTAGGAATCCGGAATGGGAGGAAAAACTGCACCAGCCACTGACCGCCCTCCTGGAAGGGCCCTCATTTCAGAGAAATCGAAACTTAGGAAAACAGCTCCACCCATCTGCTGAGGTCACTTTGTTCCTCTGAGCCCCACTCAGCGCGTATTTATCGCCCTGGGTGCTCCTAGCCGGGACCCGGGACTCATGACCAGGTGTGTGGGCGCCAGAGGCACGAACACTCCCGCGGCACATTTCCTGCTGCTGCTCATTTTCCGGTGTCCCCACAGGTCTTCTTTGACCCCACATCCGAGCCTCGCCCTGTGTTTAATCTGGAGCTCCGTGCATATTTATTTTTATTTTTTTTGAGACAGTGTCTTGCTGTGTAGTTCAGTCTGGCCTAGAACTCACTTTGTAGCCCAGGCTGGCCTCAAACTCATGGCAATCCTCCTGCCTATTCCTCCGGAGTGCTGGGTTTACAGGTGTGTGTCAGCATAACTGGCTCCAGTGCATATTTATTACCCTGTATAGACAGTCTTTCCCGGTCCCATTTAAAATTATGGAATTCTAGTGAGTTAATTCCAGTGTATCATTTCCAGTGCAACCCATGGTAAGAATAAAGACTCTCAGGCATATTTGCAGTTATGGGGAGACAGGTGGCCCTGAGTCCAGCATGGTGATGGCCATGTGGAACAAAGGCCTTGACCCAGGGCCAAACCCAGGTTTTATTAATTACTGAAGAAGGGAGGGGCTTGAGGATGAGTGACTGTGAGAACCATGGGAAGGGTGGGAGTGCTGTGAGCCGGGCTAGGTGGGAGGCCTGGAATCACCTCTGCAATATGCAGAGAAGGATATGCAGAAGGAGTAATCTGCAAAACACAACTGAGGTATGTCATGTTTTGTGGTCAGTGCTTCAGCTCTGATGTGTAAACTTGCAAGCCCCAGGAAGCCGTAGTCTATCTCCAGACTCAATCCCAGCCCATAGTGTGGAGCCCTGGCTCTTCATCCCTCTCCTCCCGGCTCACACACGGGGACAGGAGAGGTCGGGGAAACACTGTCGACTCTGCTTCAAGGACTGCACATGAGCACCCGGGCTGCATGGACATGCATTGCTTAAAGCCAACTGAAGGGATAAGGAAAAGTCCCGGCCAGCTCTGCACATGTCAGTACATGGAAATAGGGTCAGGCTCAGGCACAATGGGGACAACTGCTCCTCCTTCAAGGAGGGTCGCCCAGCTGCGCCTGCACAACCCTGGGTGCTCCTAGCCGGGACCTGGGACTCTTGACCAGGTGTGTGGGCGCCAGAGGCACGAACACTCCCGCGGCACATTTCCTGCTGCTGCTCATTTTCCGGTGTCCCCACAGGTCTTCTTTGACCCCACATCCGAGCCTCGCCCTGCTGACTGTCCACGTGCCCACGCCCACGGGGGGACAAGGCTGGGTGGTGGGAGGGCCTGACAACTAGACTTTCCCCCCATCTCACTAGGCAGCCCAGGCTGAGCTCAATCCTCCTGCCTCAGTCTCGGGTGCTGGGATCCCCAGTGCGCTGCTGCAGCCCCCGCCTACTTAGTAGTCGTCGTCGTGTCTCCCCCCCCCCCCCCCCCCCCCCCCCCCCCGCACCCCCCCCCCGCCCCCCCCCCCCCCCCCCCCCCCGCAGAGCTCCTGCACTTCCGCAGGGTCCTGCCGGCCGCCCCTCTTCCACCCTGCTCTCTGTCTGGCAGAGCTGAGGAGGAGGGGCTGCAGGGCTGACACCACCATGGCAGCTCCTTAGCTGAGGAGAGGAGAACAGAGCAGTGTCAGCTGCGGGGAGGGCGCTGGGTGGGTGAAACTCTTGCTTTTTCTCTTCTGCAGTCTAACTGATCTCCAGGCCACACACTTCCGGTTGCAGAAGACAAGAGGACTCCGCACCCAGGCTTTCTGTCCTGCTCTCTTCTCCCTCCTCTGCAAGAATGCTCAGGCTGAATTTTCTCCGTGTTGATTTTGCAAGGAGGAAAAGGATGGAAAAGAACGAATGTCAGTCTTAACCCCATATCTGCAGGCTGGACCCCAGGAGATGGGAGAATACACAGAGGTGTTGCTGCAGAATCTGTATCCAACCGGATGGGAAAAGCTCTGCACCAAGGAGTTGGAAGGCAATTTTATTGACACCGGCAGGCTGATGGGAGCTTGGTCCAAACCATCAGTCCTGCCTCAGGGTGAACTAGCAACTTATTTTGTACATTTCCTAAGCAGAAAGTACAGAGTCCCTACGGGTTAGTTTATAATTGGCTACATATATGTAACCATACGTTGTCAGGCAGATGTGCTGGGCAGGTTTAATTGGAAGAGGTCGTTTATCATGAGGCAGGAAGATCTGGGGGAAGTCAGGGTCCAGGCAAGCAGGGAAGATCTGGTGTGACCTTGACAGAGCTGGCCTGCCCTGGGCAGATAGTCCCTGAAACAGGCTCTGGAAACGGGACATGTGGGGGCTAACTGCAGCTGGCGGATAGAGGGAGTCCGATTATCTCTTGAGTTGCAGCTGTGTAGTCAAGGCCGGCTGAGTCTGATGGCCCAATTATGAAGCTGTAGTTTTAAAATTTTCTGTGACATTTTATTTCCCATTACAGTGTGAGGGAACAACTGACAACTGCTCAGTGAGACAGAGAGAGAAGGCAAAATGATTTCCGTTTTTCTTTTATCCCAAGTCTAACTTTTACTTCAGTTTCCCTCCAGGCCTCCGAAGCAGTCTCCTCTGCTCTGTGTTATCGGAGGCTTCTTGGCTGTGACAGACATCTCAGGGCCGGGCGGCTTCTTGTCGCATCTGAAACGTTTGGCCGGGGAACTCCCACAGCCACAGGTACAGGCATGAGATTCCATTCCGGGGCAGCAGTGTGGGCTGCACCCCACCTAGTCTGGGGGTGGGGGGACCCAGGCCATGGAGGCAGCACGTCCAGAAGCGAGAGGTCAGGTCAAAGATCGTTCTGGAGCTGTCAAGAGTGCAGGTGTTTGCTCTGTTTAGTTTGGGACTTCCTGGGACCATTTACCAACTTCCTTCTCAATTCTCCCTCTGGGAAGGCAGTGTTTATCCTTCGCCTGCCTCAGAAACACACCAACAAGTTAGCCTTTGCGGGCCGAGCTGGAGGGGAAGCCTCCGAGAATGAACCATCTTCCTCATTTACATCGATGTAGAAGTTCACCAGGAACTCTGGACTTAAACTTTTTTTTTTTTATTTTTTATTTTTTTGGTTTTTCTCCGGTGCCGGGAACCGAACTCATGACCTTGCACTTGCCAGGCAGGCGCTTTGGCCACTGAGCTAAATCCCCAGCCCCTGGACTTAAACTTTAAAGTTGATGGAAAAAGTGAAGACTTGGGGGGTTGTTGGGACAGAATCATTCCTTTCTTACATTCTGCATGTGAGAGAGACGTTGAATTGCTGAAGTGATTTGTCCCAGGTCCCGGCAGGGCCAGATCTGGGTTTCTGGCTTCAGGTCCGTGGAGTTGTCACTCTCCGTCTCTTCAGCAGCAGGCGTGGCCCTGGCGTGGATCCCTGCTGAAAATCCTGGTCTCTGAGAATGCCACTGTTTTCACTTTTCAGGGTTCTTTTACAGGGAAAAAGGTCCCGTTCTTTTGCCTCTGTGGAGCGGAGGTACCGCTGTCTCTGTCACCCTGAGAACCTGAACCACAGACTTTAACTGTTAGTGCCTGTAGCTCCGGCCCTTGAATAACCATCAGCAAGGGGCTGGATATAGAAGTTCCGTCACTGGAGTCTTGTCATTTTGCCATGGCAAGAGGTCTGTGTGAGCCGGGGGTGGTGGTGCACGCCTGTAATCCCAGCACTCAGGAGGCTGAGGCAGGAGGATCGTTGCGAGTTTGAGACCAGCCTGGGCTACAAAGTGAGCTCAAGGCCAGCCGGAACTGCATACTGAGACCTTGTCTCAAAAAAAAAAAAAAAAAAAAAAAAAAAAAAAGAGGTCTGTGTTCTCCACAGTCGGCTGGCTCTGCCCCACTGCTGCCCTGCAGGAGGCATGGCAAACGTCGCAGTTCCTAGCCTCCCCTCTCCGGCCTCAACCTCCTAAGCAGCTGTTCAGTGCAAATGTGCAGGAGCCCGGGGTACACCTGCTGGGAAGGCAGCCTCCTGCTTCCACCCCAGTGACTCAGGGGCCGTACCTCTGCGTGCAGCTTGAGAGTCTGCCTTTTAAAAGAAGCTCCAGGTGTGTCAAGGTCACACTGAGAGACAGAGGGTCCTAAAGCAGCACTTCCGAAACTAGGATGTAGACAAATTATCTGGGCAGCTCTCCAAATGCAGATGCTGATTGTACCATCTCATCTGGCCTTGAAATTCACCCACAGAAGGTTCCGGATGAAACTGATGCTGCCAGTCCACCAACCACTCTCGGAGAAGCCGGTTCCCAAAGGATTTCCAACATTTACCTCGTCCTAAGAGGTAATACCAAGAAAAAATGTGACCCTAAAGGTCCCCTAATTCTCTGTAGGTGAGAACCTGCTCCCCACCTTCAGGCGGACAGGTGGAGGGAAGGGCACTCTTTAGTTTTTCACTAATAATAGATAATATACATATTACTGGAGATAAAGCCATCATCAGAAATTATTAAATTAGTTGCATATTTTGAGCTGCTCTTTATGAAGAGAAATAAAATATTCAGTACTATAAGGCAGCAGAGAGTTAGTTCAGGGACTCTTGGCTATTCCTGTAAAAATGGTATGGGTAGTAAAAACAGCATTCTGCCTTTTCTCCTTAGCAAGACTATTTATGCTGATGGACTCTGAGTGGCTGGGGTGCTGTCCCTTAAAGAGCTGCTTCTTCCCATGGCTAAGCAGATGCCTTCTGACTCATGTTGTGTGTGATCAGCCGACTTCCTTGAACAAGCTGGGCGACTTCATTTGCCGCATGGCGTGCACACAGAAGCCAGTTTTGAGGCCGCACCTGTAGGCAAATCTCATGAATGTCAAAGAATAGCAACAGCGGGGGAACGTCATCCGCCCATGATAATCTCAGGAGACTTTTTCATGTCATTGATGGCAGCAGTTGGGAGGCCCCACCTGGCTACTGGGCTCCAAAGGTGCTACTTCCTTTCCTACTTGTCCTTTTATTGGGCATCTCTTCATTTTTCAACTCTGTTACTCCACAGTGATTTTCCTTTTCCTTTTTTTTTTTTTGTTTGTTTTTCTCCGGTACCGGGAATCGAACTCATGACGTTGTGCTCGCCAGGCAAGCGCTGTGCCGCTGAGCTAAATCCCCAGCCCCTTCCTTTTCCTTTTCTGACCAGGCCTCTCTCCACTTGGTCTATCTTTGTCTCTTTTCCTGTTTACATGTCTTCCCATGGCTCTCTACAGTATCGTCCTCTTGATGTCTGCTTCTTCACGCAGACGACCTGAGGCAGTCCCAGAAGTCCTCGCTCCGGTAGTCTGCGGCTTTCCGAACCAGCGCGCTCCCATTGCGGTGTGGAGCCCCGGGCCGCCCTGCTCCCCACCGCAGCCGCTCCTCGGAGCCAGCTGATACTCCACCGACCCGGCCGCGGCCCCGAGCCCTCTTACCTGTGCCCTTTTTTTTTTTTTTTTTTTTTTTGGTTTTTCTCCGGTACCGGGAACTGAACTCACGACCTTGCGCTTGCCAGGCAGGCGCTTTGCCGCTGAGCTAAATCCCCAGCCCCCCTGTGCCCTTTCTTTCATGTGTGGAACTGTGCAGTCAGAACATTCTTGGGCCAATCCCAGCACCCGTGCAGCAGTTGCTATTCTCTGTCTACTGGGAATTTCTATGGCATGTTTACAGCCACGTCCAACTCGTCCCCGATGTTGGCTTCGGGAGACTTGACATTTCCAAATGTTAATGGGCAGGTGGAGGAAGCTCTGGTCCCCATTTTGTTTCCTGGTTTCCCTACAGGAAGGCCTTCCGTAGCACGGCTTTCTAATAAGCAAGCGACTCCTTTATAACCAGCGACAAGGTCCATCTTTGCAGGAAGAGCTCTGCGTGCGTTGCTTGTCACTAATCCCCATCTTTGACCCGTTGTTGACACAGTCATTTTCCTTTTTATCAGCTCTGGTCTGCAAAGCAAGGGGCCTCTGAAAGGCAGGTACTGCCTAGACTGGTAATCTCTGTAATCGGCTCAAGCTTTTGTTCTGCTCCACCTTCCGCAATCACCTTGAAAATTACCACGAAGGTCACGCAAGGGAGCCACAGACGGGCGACTCCAGCTAATTCCTGCAGGAACAGAACGAGGCTCCTGTCCCTCCACACTGCGCATCGACTTCCACCCCATCGGCTTGTTGAAATGACCTTTGTATTACTGACCCCTCAGTTTCTGAATTTCCATCCATGACTGAAACCAAAAGAGCAATTTATTCCTGTGCAATTTTTTTGTTTTTTAAAATATTTCTTGGGCCGGGGATGTAGCTCCACGGCATCGTGCCTGCCTGGCAAGCATGAGGTTGTGAGTTCGATTCCCTGTACCAAAAAAAGAAAAAAAAATCAGCACGTCACCTCCCAACTCCACTTCTGCGGCTCTGCCGTTTCTCCTCCACTCTTCTCCGATGCGCTGCCCGCCGCCACCTCCACTGCATTTCAAGCGGACGTCTGGGCTCCGCGTCTCCGAACGCCTGTTAAGCAGTCACCTGTCCTCCAGTGAGGCGTATGCCCCTCGCGGGGTCTCCCATCTCTGCCCACAGCAACTCCGGCTTTCTCCTTGCGCAACCCCAAGTCCTGGCTGAGCTCCTGACCCCTTGGTCACACTCACTTGCTGTCCTCCTCCAGATGGACCGGGATCCAGGCACGCTCGCCACGCCCCTGCTCGCAGCCCAAGGAGGGGAGATGCACCCCAGCCGGAAGGCCGGATGGTTCCCTGCAGTCATCCCAGCCGCTGCGTGGGTCTTTCCATCTTGTTTGAGATACAAATATTTTTTGATTGGTTTGTATTTCGCTAACCACTCTAATAACCCCTTACTCTCAGGACTGGCTTGGTCAACTAGGGGACAGAGACACACAGGCTGTGAAAGACTCACACCAGGGAAAAGGTTCTGGGGTAGGAGATAATTGCTAACCAAGTTTTCCTCAATTACAGTCCTGCGAGCCAAAAGGCTAAAAATAACTACAAGAAGGGAAAGCAGGGAAGTAACAGGTGCAGGCCCAGATACATAGCTTGGGACAACCTGAGCTCTAGATCGCTGGCCACGGGGGTGGGGGCTCCTGCAAGTGAGGGGTGGACGCACGTGTCTTCGACTGTGGGCGCCTGGCTCACTCGGGCGCCGCTCCTGCAAGAGCATGGATTAAAGCCTCCTTCTCGCTGCCCTGGAGTCCAGTTTTTTGGGTCTGGACAGGTGAATGCATTTCTTACAATTTCAGCTCTGTTCTTAGCTCAACAGCCTGAATAACCCTTTGGGAGACGTTGTCACACGCCTGTCTTTGCTCAACCCACCTCCCCCAGAGTGAGGACCCTCGACACCCTCCAGATCTCCTGGGTCGGCCGACCTCCTCTCAAGGACGCTGCTCAGGCCAGGCCAGCTTCCTGGTGCCTCTGCCTCGGAAGAACTTCTTCCAGATATCACGACAAACTCTTTCATCTTTCAAATCTCCCCTCCTCACCCACGCCCCCACTCTTCCTGTCTTCCCGCACCATCTTCTGAGTTGAACACTTGATCCGCCCTGCTTAGAACGGCCCGGGTGCTGCTCCCACGCAACCCCAGCCCCGAGTGCTGGCTGGACGAATGGCCACTGCAGAGCACCTCCCTCTGCGTCACATCTGCTTTAAGGGGGTCTCGACCAAGGCTGCTCCCTGCAGCTGCAGCGCAGTGCCGCTCACACTGAGCGCAGGCTGCCCCGCTCTCCTCCCAAGAGCTGCCCCCCTCCTCCCTCCATACCAGCCCTCTGCACCCCACAGCACATGCGTACAATTTTTTTTCTTTAGAAAAGAGGATTCTCAACTCATGGGTGATGTTTTGCAATCAAATGAAATCTAAGTTCATCTCTGCTTTATCAACCCAGGAGTTTGGATGGAAGCTAGCAGTAGAATTAGTAGTGCCAAGGGCAGGGAGCGGGGAGGGTGGTAGGGAAGGGGAAACCCAGCAGGAAGGGGTCTCACATGAGAAACCCCCGAGAGCTGCCTCTCAGCAGGACCCTACAACCTGGCTCCTTTCTGTGAAATACTGGCAGGAGGGGGCCGGTGCTGATAGGTCTGAAAATTCATTTCTCAGTTTCACAGGGATTCTCAAGCGCAGGGCTTTGTGCTCGGAGCTTGTGGGACAATGCCAGGAAACGATCCCTGCTGCTGGCCCAGTCCGGGGACGCGCAGGAGAACAAGACCAGGGCTCACTGGCAAGAGCAGGCACAGGTACAACCACCACGGAAACCAGGAAACAACAGCGATGACGACAGCAAAGACAGCAGGGGCTGGAGGTCACCCAGGGTGCCGAGACAGGACGATGTCCAGGCAGCCATCTCAGGTTGGAACAAGGTTCAGCTGCACAGACACAGATAAAGACAGGGCAGGGGACCCATCTGATGAGTGACCACGTCGCAGCTCAGCTCCGTACAGCACCTGGCCCCACGTGCACCAGATCCAGTACGAGAAAGCACACGGATTCTGGAAGGTTCTCAGGGTTGCTTTTGTGTCAAGTTTTAGGAACTTTCATTTAATTAACCCCAAACTACCACTCATAATAAAAATTTGGAAAGCAAACTCATCTATTTTCCACAGGGAGAGAGGAAGCGACAGCTCAGGGCAACATAAAGTAAGGCGGGGATGGAGCTGTCCTAGCCTCGCCTCTACTGGGCCCGAGGAGAATACAGAGCAGTGTGGGGAGGAGTGCTGCTGTAGTGAGGGCGGCCCATCTCCTCATATTCTCGCGTTATATTCTCAGACAAGCAGAGACCTACTATTCGGATACCCGTTGTAGACAGGTAAGCCAGGAGCTCCTAAAGTCACAGTGGTGTGTGTGGGGAAGTCTTGGATCTATTTTGTGTCACTGAGCCCCACATAGGGCAGCCTATGAAGGAAACAATCATGAACACATTCAGGTCAGTCACCCTACGTGATGACGCTTAGTCATTTTCCTCATCACTGGGACAAAATACCCGACACCTACTCTGGGAGGACTTTGGGCTGGGGATCTAGCTCAGCGGCACAAGTGCCTGCCTGGCAAGCACAAAGTCCTGAGTTCGATTCCCAGTACCAAAAACAAACAACAACAACAAAAAATAAAGGAGAATTTTATTTTGGTTTACACTTTGGGGATTTCAGTCCTTGCATGGTTGGGCAGCAGAGTACAAGGGCCTGGGTGGTGGGAGCCTGCTCGCTCATGGTGGACAGGAAGCGCAGAATGAAGGGAGAAAGATTTACCTTAGTTCACTGGTTACAGAGGGTTGAATATTCAAGGCAGGGCGGCCTGGTGGAGGGACATGGGAGAGGAGGCCAGTCCGTGGGATGGCAGATGGGAAGGAGCCGTCCCTCTTTCCCTTTTTGTCCAATCCAGGCTACAGTCCTATTGGTTGATGTTGCCCACACCCAGGATGTGTCTTCCCTCTTTATGAAATCCATCACTCACACCCAGAACCTTAAAAAACAATCACTAGCTTGGCATGGTGGCACACCTGTAATCCCAGCACTCAGGAGGCTGCGGCAGGAGGATCATTGCAAGTTTGAGACCAGCCTGGGCTACAAAGTGAGCTCAAGTTCAGCCTGAACTGCATATCAAGATCCTGCCTCAATAAACCCCAATCACTGGCCGGATCCCTATCACACGGCCTGATCCAGTCTCTCCCAAAGCCCGCCTGTGAGCGCAGGATGCTTTTGTGTGGAGGTGAAGGCGTGGAGCTCTAAACCGGATGCAGTCCTTGGTCTGCTGGCTTCAGTGCAGGAATGGCGTGGTGGAGGCGCTAGGCAGGCAAAAGCTACTTATGTATCCAGCACGTGGAGAGCTAAGGGCGGAGCAGGAGGAGACCCTCGTAAGTCACTTCTGCAGTGACACGCCTTGCAGACCAAGCCCCACCCCTCAGAGCGCCTGCACTGAATTCCCCAGCAGAGGAATCCACTGACCACCCAGGACCCGAATGCCCTCTAAAAGTTCCCCTCTAAACATGTGAATCTTCTGGGGAATACTTTCTATACAAACCATGACACACTCTAAACAACCCACCACATACTCGAAATAAATACCCAAATCCAGAGTCCTCACAACGCAGGAGTGCGCCCCTGCTCCACCCCTCCCACGCCAGGCCCCAGAGTCTCACCCTTTGAGACAGCTGAGGGTCTGTCGCTGCGGCAGAACAGAAGCAGGACACGGTCAGAGCTCACAACAGACGTGGTTGAAGGAGGAGCCGTGGGCAGGTGAGCTCCCCTATGGGTTCCCGCCACCCACACCCAAAGGGACTCAGGGACCCCACCTCCTTGTACTTACAGCTGGCGTAAGTTCTCTCCTTTACACCTGTGGGGAGAAACACGCTGAGAAAGGCCAGGGAGAAGGAACAGTAATGAGGGTCTAGAGGAGTTTTCTAGTCCTGGACCCAGGGAAGTTTCCAGATCTGGGATGCAGACCCAGGGAAAGAGCAGGAGGCACGAGGAAAGGACAAGTTCAGGACCTGGGCCAACCGTCCTCCTGGAGCTCTGTCCTAGCAGGGACCTTCCCCTCTGACCCTGACTGCTGGGAATCAGGTCCCTATCTCCACAGCCCTCTGTCCTTCCTGTCCCTTGTGCTTTACAGCCGAGTGAGTGTCCCAGGGCCCAGGGCTGGGTACGGTGCTGTGTGTGTGGACAGTGTTCACCATGAGGGGGCGCACTTCTCCCTGGGGCCTGAACCTGAACACTCAGGCCCTGACCCCTTCTTACCTGCCCTCTTTCTCCCCTGCATCACAAGAGCCACCGCAGCAGTGACCACCAGGAGACTGAGGACGGCAGCAGTGACTCCTATGGCTGTGACCCCTCCAGTTGGGACGGTGGGCTGAGGAGACGGCTCTGGGAAGGGAAGGGGAGGTGAGAGGTCCTGATGCCCAGGTGTCAGCCCTGAGCTACTTTAGGTTGAAAAGATTCCTGCTTTCCTTGGAAAGAGCTCCTCTGCCCCCACCTCCCTTACCCCATCTCAGGGTGCGGGGCTCAGGCAGCCCCTTGTGCTGCACACGGCACATGTAATTCTGCTCCTCTCCAGAAGGCACCACCACAGCCGCCCACTTCTGGAAGGTTCCATCCCCTGAAGGCCTGGTCTCCACCAGCTCCATGTCCTGGGTCAGGTCCTGCCCATCTCGCTGCCAGGTCAGGGAGATCTCCTCAGGGTAGAAGCCCAGGGCCCAGCACCTCAGGGTGACCTCCTCCTTGGAGATGGGGTGGCGGGTCACGTGTGTCTCTGGGGGGTCTGAGCAAAGAGAGGGAACATTCACAACCTCCTATTACTTCCCACAGGCCTTGCAAGCAATGCTTCATGATCATCCTGAGAATGGACAGGACAACTGAGGCAGGGTTCGGTGCACAAAGCCCAGACTCCAGCCTGGATTCAGCCTCCAGGATTGTCCATTCCTTGAAAAGTCCAGGATCTAGGGCTGGGGATATAGCTTAGTGGCATAAGCGCCTGCCTGGCAAACGCAAGATCGTGAGTTTGATCCCTGGTACCGCAAAAAAAAAAAAAAAAGAAAAGAACAGTTCCAGGATCAGTGTGAGACAGCCCAGGTATGAGGCTCCACGTCTCTGAGGGTGGGTGGGGAGAAGGGTTCTGCTGCTGATCTGGGTGCTGACTGGTGAGTTAGAAATGCTGCAGTCCACCTCCAAGGACACGAGTGTGGGGCAGAGAACAAGCTCCTGACAGCAAAATTCTCCAGGCTTTGCAAAGCCTGTGTCAGAGGCAGAGAACACTGTGGATGGGAAAGGTTTCCCTGTCACTCTGGAGAGACGGGATTCCTTAAACGTTCCTGACAGGCAGCCCTTAGATCACTCCTCCGCACAAGATCGGGAAACCCAAGGGATTCCCAGCTCCGGGTGCCAGGACCTCGTAACTGATCTTCAGTCTGTTTTCTGCCTTTTTTCTTTGATGGGGATGGCACCCAGGGCCTCGTGCGCATGCTCACCAAACCCTCTACCACCGAGCGGCAGCCTGGGCCACGGACCGGTAGGGTCAGGGCCTCTTAGGAACGGGCCAACGGCGGGAGCGAAGCAGGGGAGCTTCACCTGTAGTCAGCCGCTCCCGCGCGCTCGCCTGCAGCCTCAGATTCTCCTAGGAGCGGGGCCCAGCCCAACCCTCGCCGCGAGGGACGCAGAGTGCATCCTTAGGACAGAGTCTGATCCTGAGACCCAACCCTCGCAGCTGCAGCAAGGAAAAACTGCCTTCCGTGAGACCGGTCTCCGGTGCTGAAGAGGGGGCACCGCTGCCCTACTTCATAGACGCGGGCGCAGCCCCAGCCCGGGGGTGGGGCGGAACTGCTCTGCGGCCCGGTACCTGCGCGCTGCAGCGTCTCCTTGCCGGCCTCCAGGTATCTGAGGAGCCAGTCCACGCACTCGCCCTCCAGGTAGGCCCTCTGCTGCTCCGTGTCTCCCGCCTCCTCCGATTTGTGTCTGGAGATCTGAGCAGGCAGGCTCACCGCCGTCCAGGAGCTCAGGTCCTCGTTCAGGGCGATGTAATCCGCGCCGTCGTAGGCGAACTGCGAGAACCCGCGGAGGAGGCGCCCGTCCGACCCCACGTCACACCCACTGCAGTGTGTGCGAGCCTGGGCACGCCCCCGCGGTCAGCGCTGCCCGGCAGGCCCTGCCCCCTCAGCGCCGCCCTCGGAGCCCCGCCCAGCTGTCAGTCCGCCCTGCCCGGAGCTACTACCCTACCACTACCCAGAGCCGCTGTTAGCCCCGCCCC